GCGACGATAGGTCACTTCATTCACGCGCACCCAGTAAGATCGCGGCCCAGCTATTCCTGTACAGACGCCAGGGGTCCATGTGCGCTGTCCAGGGAGGCGCATCCGAATGGGCTGACCCACGACCAGAGGGGCCAGGGGCTGCGTCCGACGATTGTAATATTTCGCCTGGCGCAGTTTATTGTCAGCGAGAACACGCGGGAGAGGAGTCGGGTACGCGGGAAGCAAGTTTGACCTGGGAGTAGGCAAAAACGTCCGACAGGCACGTCCAAACAAATTCGCCCAGTGAAGGGTCAGACATGTCGCCGGCACAGAAAATGTTTGGACGTGCCTGTCGGACGTTTTTGCCTACTCCCAGGTCAAACTTGCTTCCCGCGTACCCGACTCCTCTCCCGCGTGTTCTCGCTGACAATAAACTGCGCCAGGCGAAATATTACAATCGTCGGACGCAGCCCCTGGCCCCTCTGGTCGTGGGTCAGCCCATTCGGATGCGCCTCCCTGGACAGCGCACATGGACCCCTGGCGTCTGTACAGGAATAGCTGGGCCGCGATCTTACTGGGTGCGCGTGAATGAAGTGACCTATCGTCGCAACCGCCGCCAGCTGTTAGCCACCAATGACCCTCTGCCTGTACAGAGTGATCACTCGGACCCAGACGTGCTCGGTCCGCCACGGGAACCCACCGCGTTACCAGAGCCGCCTCAGACTCCTCCCGTCGCCACCGGCACGGGCGTGCGCCCGCTCGTCGTCCCGCCCGTGCCTCCTGGCGAACCGTGGATGGATGTGCCGTCATCTCCTCCGCTCCCGCCGTCCCCCGTCCATGCGCCTTACGCACCACTGACCGGGGCAGGCTCACCGCCGGTCATAAATCGCCGTCCCCAGCGCGAAAGGCGCCCGCCCGCCTATCTGTCCGATTACGTTAGATGAATCACTGTTCGTGTCAGTTCAGTTCGTGTTCACTGTTCTTGTCAGTTCGTGTCATTGTATGCTGAATGTGGCTGCGTACTTATCAGCAGACGGTAGAATGACCAAGCGTCATGAGAGGTATGCAATGTAAATATTTTGGCGTGTTTTATACTGTTTTGCGATTACCAGTACCTAGTGTTACAGTGCTCAGTCCTTCAGTGCCGCGGTATAGCTTCGTCGCACAGTAGCTTTGCGTAGCATTTGATGTGGTGCATTGCACATGTGTGTTCGTGTACGGACACCAGCATGTCCGTGATCTCGATATCTCATTGTCGCAGGAGAAGGGATGTGACGTATTGTAATTTGTAGTGTCCTGAGACGTGCTGTCATCTAACGGCAGAAAAGCGAACTCGTGGTTGACGGCAAGTGAGGGCGCGGCAGCCGGAGGGTTGTAGAGTTAGACACCCGAGCTATGGTTGGTCAGTGCTGTATAATATCTGACATTACTGAATACATATCATCGTCTTACGTTATCTGATATCTTAAGAACGTTACAGGTGTAATCCGTGCCACAGTGACCAGTAACGGTAAGTCAGCTGACGCTGACTTGTATGTGATGAGAGGCGGTACTGTACCTTTGTTGGGGCGTGACTTACAGCTCAGTCTGCAGATCACAGTCAAGAACGGCAATGCTGTGTGTGCCGTGTCACCTGGGAGTCAACCGGAGCCAAGCCAGCCCGGTCTCCCTCCCCTTCGTGGGTTTGTTCACAGGGTAAAGGTGAGGGACGGTGTTTCCCCTGTCCAGCAGAAGATGCGGCCTCTGCCGTACTCAGTCAGGGAGGAAGTGAAGGCACACCTGGCAGACCTGGAGGCAAAGGGTGTCATCGAGAAGGTGGACTCGTCACCTTGGATATCTCCGATGGTGGTCACCAGGCGCCGCACCGGCGGAATCCGGGTATGTCTCGACCTGAAAAAGGTAAATCAAGCGGTCATGCCCAGCAAGTATCCGCTACCTGACATGATGGATATGCTCGATAAGCTTAAGGGGGCTGCAGTGTTCTCGAGCTTGGATATGAAGTCTGCCTTCAATCAGCTTCCACTGCATGAAGAGTCCAGAAATTTGACGGCCTTTATGACACCTGATGGGCTGAGAAGGTACACCCGATGCTGTTTTGGTTTGTCCTCTATCCCGGCAGCTTTCCAGAAGGTGATGGACAACATCTTGGCTGGACTGTCGGGGGTCCAAGTCTACGTCGATGACATCATCATCTTTGGTGAGAACCAGGACCAGCATGATGCTCGTCTTCAGCAAGTGTTGGCCAGGCTAAAGGAGTACCAGGTAACCTTGAACGAGGAGAAGTGCACCTTCAGCACCACATCTCTAGAGTTCCTGGGCTTCACTGTCACGAAGAACGGCTTCAAGGTGAGCGAGAACCGCGTCAAGGGTATGCGGGACATGAAGTCGCCCAGCACGGCTAAACAGCTACAGTCGGCCTTGGGACTGTTCGGCTTCTACGCCAGGTTTGTGAGCGACTTTTCCACACTGGTGGATCCACTTCGGGCCACCCTGAAAGCAGAGCGTTTCCAGTGGACGCAGGAGCTGGAGACTTGTTTCAGGGAAGTTATCTCCAAGATCATCAACAGCTCAGCGCTCACGATGTACGACCCAGATCGACCGACTGTCGTGACATCAGACGCTTCGGATGTAGGCCTCGGAGCAGTGCTGAGTCAGATCTACCCCGAAGGTGAGAGAGTTGTTTCTTTCGCATCAGCCACTCTATCAGACACGCAGAGGAAGTATAGCGTTACTGAGCGGGAGGCCCTTGCGGCCAAGTGGTCAGTTGAGCACTGGCATAAGTATCTTTTCGGAACCCACTTCACCTTGCGGACGGACCACCAAGCCCTACAGTCGCTCTTATCATCAAAGGGGATTGGTAGGGCAGGAATGAGGCTGTCTCGATGGGCAATAAGACTCATGGCGTATTCGTTCAGTGTGGAGCATGTTGGTGGCTCCAGAAATGTTGCAGATGGCCTCTCCAGACTGCCAGCCTCGACACACACCCCAGAGGATGACGACCAGCTGATGGTGGCGGCGATCACTGACAGGATCGCGCGTAAATCTGCGGTAACCAGAGACAGCATACGAGCGGCGGGCGCTGAGGACGAGGAATTGACCAGACTGTGCAGGCAGATCGTGTCTGGCTGGCCAGCTCGCTCGAAGGACTGCCCAACAGACCTGCAGCCGTACTACAGGTTCAGAGAGGAGCTTACGGTTGTCGAAGGCCTCATACTCCGTGGCGAGAGAATCGTCGTCCCGTCCGTACTCCGGCAACACCTTCTGGAACAGGCCCACGAAAGCCATCCAGGCATCGTCAGGACTAAACAACGTCTACGGGAACTCTTCTGGTGGCCAGGTATGGACGCGGCAGTGGAGAACATAGTGAAGTCCTGTACAGTATGTGACGCGGTTGATAAGAGTGCGAAGCCGCGCAACATCCTGCTTCAACCGGTTCCCTTCCCGGAGAAACCCTGGTCTAAGTTGGGAATCGATTTCATCGGACCGCTAGAAGGAGGGGGAATAGGTAGAAGATTCGCCATTGTCATGACAGACTATCACTCAAAGTGGCCGGAGGTGGCATTCTGTCCGCACCCCTCATCCCGCGCAGTCATCAACTTCATGGAGACAGTGGCTACGAGAGAAGGGTATCCAGAGGAGCTGGTATCTGATAACGGCACAGCGTTTACATCTCATGAGTTTACAGAGTATCTGAGTGAAGTTGGAGTCAAACATATTCGGGTCACCCCATACCACCCAAGAGGGGCAGGAGCAGTGGAACGATTTAACCGTGTGCTTAAAGGTGTCCTACAGACAGCTACTCTTGAAGGACAGGACTGGATGGTAGCTGTGAGGCAGTTTCTGCTTCAATACCGGGTGACATCGCATGCCACAACCGGCCGGAGTCCCGCAGAGTTGCTCCGTGGTCGACAGCTACGCACGCCTCTGCGAGCAGCAGCAGATGGTCAGCACTGGTTTGTGACCAATGAACAGGTGAGAGCCAAAGTTGAAAGACAACAGGCTAAGCAAAAGTTATACTGGGACACAAAGTTCAGCGCTAAAGAGAACTGTTTCAAAGTTGGAGACTATGTACGCTACAAACTGATGCCTAAGCCCAGGAAGGGATGCTCCAAGTTCTCAAAGTCATTGGAGATTGTGGAGGCTAGAGGTTGTCATTCCTTCTTGCTGAGTGATGGTACCCTGGTGCATGGAGAACGGCTAGTTCGCTCAAGTGCCTTGTCTGAAAGTGCAACCCCTCTGGCAGGAGCGGACATGGTGGAAGGTGTCGAAGCAGTCTGCAAGGATGGTTCATCTACCGCGGACCAGCCATCGAGGATGATGGCAGGAGCCTCACAAGAGAGGATGATGCGACCTCCAGCAGCAGAAGTAACCCCGTCGGGCGGCAGGATCGAGGAAGTCCCTTCAACAGGGGACGTGTCAAACAGGAGTGCAGCATCGGAGGTGTCGGGTGATCAGCAGAGTGATAACCCTGCGCCTGAGCGTAGATCGGGTAGAGAAAGGAAACGGCCCAAGAGGCTCATTGAGGAGTGTGGTTGATGCGTGATACTGTGATTGATGCATAAGGTGATGGGCACATTGTAATGGTGTTTTCTGTTGGCATCCATTACTAGTTTCTTGCTTTATTTCTAAGGGAAGGGGAATGTAGTGTTTGCATGTTGAGTTCATGGTGCTGCCAAATAAAGGTATTTCCCTATGTGGCAGCAATGGCACATTGGTGGCGCACACGTGACAATTGTAGTACGGTTTTGGCGCCAAGAGTTGACCTCTGGTGACCGGTGACCTGAGGTCAACAGACTGGTCTGGAGTGTGGCTGAAGAAGCATTGATACTGTTGCCATTTATCTGAAGAAGCATTGATACTGTTGCTATTTATCTTGTTATTAATATACCATGTAATTGTCAAGACTTGATTGTGTCAAGACACTACACGGCGAAAGCTCATTCTGTATTTCGGTCTTTTCAATTGCTAAAATAATACATTTGTGCCATGTTAATGATCAATTTCTTTCCCATCTTACTTACAATATTTAGTGTCTCAGCACGCGACTCTTTATTGTATCAACCCTAACCGTATCAACCAATATCAACAAACACTATTGACAGACACACAGCGTGCATATGGCCTTCGCGTGCACCCGTGGGCGTGCACCAAGGCCGTATATAGCAAATATAGGGCGTGCACTGGCGTGCACAGCGTCGTGCTCGTGGCCACCACAATCAGAACACTAGCGCCAGAACTGTCACTACACTAAACTGCTGCAATATTCCGATTCCGGTGGAGAATGGTTTCAAAAGTTGGTGTCAGTGTGGCGAGGAACATCTCGGTGTGGCCTAGCATCATCTATGTTGTGGTCTGGGTCATGCCACACGACCCAGACCACATTTTGGGGGTACGATCGTTTTGGGGAATTTCTTTTATGCAGGTCGCCCTGTGTGGCTTATTTATAATTTTTATGCTGATTTTGATCATTTCTCATGCCCATCCTAGCAGGCTTTTTGCCACTCACACTCATTAACCCTTGCCGGCCGAGGGGGGGGGCGGGTGCCGCCCCCCCCCCCATAGGGTTTTTTCGCGATAGCTCCGAACACGCTGGCGATAGAGAGCTGAAACTTGGCATACCTGACCTTTGATCCAAGCCGCATCTTTTGACACCAACCGCATTTTTGGGTCAGGTCAGGTCACTGACCTATGACGTCATAAGTGAACCTCTGCACGGTCTTCAGATGTCGCAACTTCGCAACGCCCTCACTGCCAGAGGAGATGTCACAGGGAAATGAAATTTGCAGGATCTAGTATCCATTATGAGTCTCACAACTTGTATATCTCGGATTTTTCCTAAAGGTCATATGAGGTCAGGTCATTTTCGTGACCTCACCATTATAAGTCAATGGGGAAAAATTCAAACTGCTATTCTGGCGCCGGGAACGATCTCCAACTATCTCAAGCACACAGAATCGTGATTTGATGCACTCCTTGCAAGGTTAGATGCGTCTCTTTTGCAATGTTGACCTTGCGTGACGTCATTTATGACGTCATCAAGGTCATATTAGTTTTTCGTCAATAACTCCCGACCAAATTGAGCTAGCGAGTCGAGAAAGCCACCAATGGACTCAGGAGGACCTGCCGAATCGAATGATATGCGACATGACCTCTTTCGACCAACTTCGTGACCTGGGGGTGCTGACCTGACCTTGACCTGAGGTCAACACCCCAAGTTGACCTGACCCGGACAAAAATCATATCATTCGACGCGCCTGAGCGAGGCGAACACGATGCTGCCAAAATCGCGGCTCTGCGGCCGTTTTTTGCGAAGTTATTCACCAAAAACTGAACCGTACCCTGGGGCACTTGACCTGACCTCAGAGGTCACCGGTTGACCTAGGACCTTAAAATCGGGTACCAATCTCTGCGTCTCGTAACGGCGCACACGCTCGTTTTTTCCGCGACGCGCTAGCTCCACCAGGGGCGAAACGGCGAGGGGGGGGGGGTCGTACCCGCCCCCCCCTCGGCCGGCGCGTATGTAGAAAACCAATAGGTCCGGCGAGGGTTAAGAAAGGAAAAAAGTAGATTTTTATTGGGACTAGGTGTTTTGAGAGTGAAACATTTCAGCGTTCCCATTTTTGGATACTTACTTGTGCTCGTCAACTATAGACAGGTGCTTTACATGCCTCCACCGTCGGCGCGGACGGTGTATATAGGCATGAAAAACCTTGTTGAACATCGCTGAGCGTTGTGAATTACGTAATCCTGCAGAGGGGGGCGTGCCCGCTGCGGGATCGACGGGACATAAGACGCAGAAGACCCGGCGAAACATGCGGTGGTCTTGCCGGAAAGGTCATCTTATGATTGTTGCGTTAACAATAACTTGCGGCGTTGGACGTGATGCTTGTTAATGAAAAGAGCCCGTGAAAGTCGTCGGTGAAATCGTTCCCAATTTTGGGTACGCCGTTCCTAGTTTAGATGTCGCGGGTCGATACACAATCTGATGTCACCTGAGGGTTTGTCGACTATCACCGGGTGCGATACCCACACGGTCGGTTCTACTATGGGAGATATCACATTCACACCCTGGTCTTCTAGCTCGTCCAGTTTCTTTTTTAGCTTATCCCTGACATGGATTCGGACCCGACGGGGTGGTTCTACGACGGGCACGACTGTTGGGTCTGTGACGATATAATCGTCCACAATCAGGCCCACCCTCTTTTTGTCGAACACGTCCCGATACTGTTCGATGATGTGGGACCGCCCGTCTCGAGGCTGAGCATTCGGGGACGCGGATGCAGCTGACGAGGGTGGGGCCAGAGGGTCACCCGGTCAGGTGGGCACGGCGGTGTGGGCGTGACATTGGTCAGATTCCTATCAGCAGTACTCTGGTATACAAAGTCCAGCGAGTCACAGTCTTTGACGTCGATCCGATCAGCCCTAGACGAAGCGATGTCTTTAGGATAGCCGCTTTTACCACTCTACATTGTAGCGTACATACAGTTGTGCTCTGTCACGGGGTTACTAAGCTCAAGATTCACTTTCCCATCCGTGTACACGGGTCCCCCGTCATACATGCGGAGTGCCGTTGAGCAGTGAGCAGTGAGCACGGCCTCAGCCGCTCACCCTGCTCGTCACCCGTCAGCCGCAGATAGTCAGCACGTGTAATGACGTCACATTCAGCACCGGAGTCGATTAAAAATGTCACCGGCACTCCATCCGCAGTGATAAGAGTTGTGTGAGTCCTACTTGGAAAGCCTTCGGTCGTCATGATGTCGAATTCCGCCTCCGGGCTGCTGCTGGAGTTGGCTGGCGGAACTTCTATGGCCTTGGCTAATGGCTAGCGGTGGCTAGCGGCGATACCTCCGGCTGCACTGCCGCCGCGCCGGCCGCCGTTGCGTGGCGCCTGCAGAAGGCCGCCAGTCAGCTGATCGGCGCGCAGCTGACTTCCCGCAAAAAACTTTTTTTTTTGGTCGAAAATGGCAGAAGCCAGAAATGACGTCACTCCGACGTCATTAGCGGCCAACCTATCATAGCCTTTGGATTTTTTTTTTTTTTTGGCCACAATGTGCAATAGCTATTTGAGTATTCACGGGAGGGTACTGAATGTTTGGTGACGATCGGCGCAGCGGTTCTGGAGATACCTATATCGAAAAAGCTAAAGGGGGCAAAAAAATGCCCCCCCCCCCCCCCACCGCCTGGAAGGTTAACACTGTCTCAGATTTAGGTACCTACCATTCGCCACAACTATTTTCATTCTAAAACATCATTGATGTTTTGCATAACATAAGCCTATCAGCATGTTTAATTTCGGAGCATCTGTATTATAGGTTCTTTTAAATATTTGTGCATGGGCTTCTGTGGTCCGGTCCGGCGAACATTTTCGCTCAGTTTAGGGCCTCAGCAGTACGGTAATGGCCTGTATCATAAGATGCACGCTGGTCGCTGTAGCAAAATTCTACACAAGCGCGGCATGAGTAAAACTGCTGTATGACGGAGGCACCGGTGTCTGACAACTGGGTGGAAACTGGAAACAGTCTGGAGGCTGGCCAGAGGTCATGCTCGTATCACTCACCCTTGACCCCGTCCATCGCCTCTGGCGGGTAGGTACTCAACAGGGCGCTCATTGGCTCATTGGTCTACTCACTTCAGTGAGCGCCAATCACAGTCAGCTCAGTGAGCGTGCCGCGTATGAAATCACAAGAAGCATGATTCCGCTATAGCATTTTACTTGGAAGAGGCCATCTTGATCTGTGTAGACGGCATTGCCACTGCCAGTTAATGGGAGAGGGAGGGGGGGGGGATTCGGCACCTCAACTAGTTTTTTGATCAAATGGACAGTGGATGACACAACATATTTTTTCACCGTTCGTTCGGATTCATTAAAATAAAGAAGAAAGAACGTTGAAGCATATAACTATAAGGCCAAGAAGCCAATAATTTTCATAAGGTGTACTGTAATGCAACTGCAGCCACACTTTCATTTCACTTTAATTGTTGCAATCGGTCATCAGCCACATACCTACGGTCACAGCGTATTCGGATTCAAAATGAAAAACCTGAATGAATTGCACCACTCATGTTCTGATGAGTTTGCCGTTTTGCAATTAAAAAAAAAAATCATAAGATCCTCTGCGGGTAGGACGGCTTTCCTTGGCTACACGTCTATTGTCATCGCAAAGGACGGCGACCGTCTCCCCGCATCTCCTCGACCTCTCCCCTGAGTGCTGTTCGGGCAGCGCATCCTTTTGTAAAATTTTGCACCACGCATGCACAGTTGGGGTCCCTCGGGTGCCAAGCTCCGCCCTTCGGCGTATGACGCCACACGTGTGACGGGCTCGCGCAAAAATTTTCAGTTTTGCGCAAGAAGAAAATAGTAGCTGCAGGAGGCGAAAGTGGCGCGGATTCAAGTTCCTATATTTATCACCCTCCTTTATATCATATTGTAAGTGGTTAGTAGGTATGGTGTTTTTTTTTGTATCATTATCTTTCTTTTCAATGGCATACCAAATCTGCACCTAATATCTTTTACAGCAAATATCTTTGTTTTAATAATTTATTTCAGTGTATTAATCGATGATACTCTCTGATGATATGACAAAGCAGGCATATGAGCAATTAGTACAACCCTAGCTGATAGCTACTAAGAGACACACTGAACCTAATTTGACCAAATCTGCACCTAATTTGCACCAGATGTGCACCAAATGTGTACCAGATGGCCATCGTAAAAACGGCTATTATGGCTACACTACTAGCTGAGTACGTACCTATGACTTGCTCTCTACGAATAAAGTCGTGCTAGATCGGAAAAATCCTCACTGTGCACTGCAGTCATGCTCTGGCGCCTGGCTCCATGTCGCTGATCGAGCGCAACTGACTGTGCCTAATGGACCGCGCTGCTAAACCTATAATTTGTCACCGCGACAAAATGGTCAAAGGTACAAGTGCACAAACGGGCTTTGATAAATGACGGGAGGAAATGAGGAAATGAGGTCACTGCTTGCACCGTTGCACTTGCTTCTTGGGCTTCCATTAAATAAAAACTTCCGTTAAAAGCGGAGTATCGCGACGAAACTTTTAGTAACCTCATGGAAATTAATTTTACAATTACCA